AAGACTTCATGTGCAAAGGACACTTAGTGTCCCACAGGCGATCGCATTCAGATGAACGACCGCACAGCTGTCCAGATTGTGGAAAAACTTTCGTCGAGAAGGGCAATATGTTGAGACATTTAAGAAAACATGCAGCAGAAGGACCACCGACACAAGTCAGCACACCGTCAGCCATTCCTCAATCTGGCGTTCTGCCGATACCGGCAGCGGCAGTTTTGGTCGGGCATCCATTGGCGCCGCCCGCACCACCTGTAGTGCCGCAACACACGGTTGTTGTACCCACTCCACCAGGCGTATTGACCTCGTACTAAACCAAATGAAGAAAAGGGATGTTAAAGCATTTGATGAAAGAAAAGTGAGTGTATACATGATGAACGTTTGTATCGTTGATCATAAAAGTGCATCATTGGGTTTTTAAAGACTTATGGTTTCTACGACCATGAAAGTTGATAAAAGTGTTGTTATGCATCGCAGTAGTATCATTGTGAATGTTGTAACTACAGACGTTGTCTTCGTTTGAAACGTGTGCCGCAATATTCGCCTGTTGCTACGTGCAAAAAAAGTTACACGAACTTACATTGAACAATAACCGCTGCTATGATGGCAGTGTATTATCCAAAGTTTGAATTTCTTTGTTTCTTTTTGTATAATACCTTTAGTAGATCGTTTATGGAAGGAAGCATATTTAACGTTTTCACGTTTCACTTACTATGCAAACTCAGGACTATGCGATTCAGTGATGGGCACACGTAAATTTTGCTTTTAAACGAATTACAATTAGGCACTAATCGTGGTACCAATATGTCGTCGTATTAATTTTGTACAATAATTTCATGTAAAAAGAACAAAAAAAAAAAGAAAAAAAAATAATGTATCTGCCAGCGGGAAAAGGCAGAATTTGACGTAATGTAAACATGCGGCGCACCCCGGATGGTATGGTCGTTATTTGACGGACTTATCAAAATATTTGCTTGGAGTACAAGATCTATTTTAATTCAAATTGTATAATGAGTATGCAGCCCTCGATAGTAATTATTTGCAACCGACATGACACGGATTCACTTTTGTGTTAAAATACATTTTGTGCTATCACTTTCATAATATTAGGCGATCTCGTCAGATTCAAAGTGGTATTTCTAATTTCGTAATTGGATATATTCCAAAATATTTTTTTGAAAGATACTATATATGTGAGATCAGATCCTCCAGAGATAAGAAGCCTAGAAGACTAGAATATCGAAAAGTTAACGATGATGAGGTAATACAGAGCCCGGTCAGCAATCGCTACTCCTGCTAATCTTCTTGAATTCAAATACCATCGTTCATACCCTTTTCCTCTTAGGCTCCCACACGTGACTTTGCTATTTTTATACAGAGTGATTTTAAAATTGGACTAAGCTATAGTTATTTTCTAAACGAAGAACTCGGCAACTGTTCAAAAATTGTACCATATTAATTTGGGCATTTAATTACTCGTTTATTTCCATTTACCATTAGGTTCATTTTGGTTACAACACTTTTCTTCTTTATAGGGCACAATGTAAAAATCCATAGCGGCATTAAAAATATACGTGTATGTCCTAGAGAACAAAAGTATAAAAAAAAATAGTCTCTATTACTTGTTTGTGCCTTCGCTTAGAAAACAGCTACAGTCTTTAAAATCAATCTGTATACTGACTTTAAGGATACAGTGTTCCCCGCGTGTATGTAACTGAATCAGTATATAACGATCCTGTGAAAAATGCAGAGTGCCAAAACTTCAGACCAAATCTGGAGGATCGTTTCTAGGCGCTAGAGAAACAAACAGATTTGAAACAACAGTTAATAGATGCAAGAGTTTCATTAGTAATACAGAGTATAAAAATCACATTGTTTTATATTTCTTTTTAATTTAAACAAATTTTATTTTCTTTATTTTTTATGTCAATGTTATCCGAGAAAATTGATTAAATTAACAGAGACGACTCCTTTGTCCTTACATGGAGAAAAATGATATATAGGCAAGGAATACTGTAAACGGTAATTTTTCGTTGTATATATAGATTGGAAATCGTAAAAATGAAAATATGTTTTATTATTTTCCTAAAAAAATTTATGTAAATGTGACTGAGAAAGATACTATATATATTTAATAGCACATAATCTTTAGATTAATTAGATATTTACTTTTATTGTTTTATCTAATTGGCGTGCAGTTTAGTTTAACGTGAAAGATTTATGTTTTCCAAGTATACCAATTGAAGTTCCGCGTCGGCTGCCCGTTTTAGCTATAGTCATTGTTTTTCGTTTAATCATAATTATTATAATCGTGTGCAATATAACTATGCCGATTTCGCTTAGGAGACATCTGCAACAAATACCACTTTTACACGGAATCTTAAATATAAAAAAAAAAAACAAAGCCAAGCGATAGCAGATATTGTTTTGAATTTTTGATTTTTAAAGTTAACGTTAAATGGTTAACGATACTTGTCTATTGTCTACTTCAAAAGAAAAATGTTACGATTCTAGCGATCTTGTAAGGCCATGTATTTCGTATTTACATTTAAGGTAACAGTAAAATCGTAAGCTTGGTTTTGCGATGTCGTTATCGTGCTAAGTTACCTAAATATACTACCGTATTTAAATGAGCACTGGACACCAAAACGTACGTTCAATTCCTCAAAAAAAAAATTGCAACCGCGTCTCACTGGTTACCGCATTACCAAGCTTACGTTGGTTATGTATGATATTAATAACAATTAATGAATAGATATGAAAAAGATGATGAAAAACTTATTAACGCGGGTGCATACGTCAGATGGACTTTCGTGTACGATAATGTTCGTCGCTCCGTAGAAGTCTAGATTAATATATTACGACAAATATTACTAAGTATATTCAAACAATTAGATATCATGTACTATTTAAAATAATGAGGGAAAAAGCTAATTATACTGCAGGGTCACTGTATGAGTGACATAAATCTGTCACATACGGAACGTAAAATTTTCACTATATTCGTAAGAGAAAACCACGCGAAGAATGTGCAAAGATACATCTATAAAGGAGAAAACTATATATGTATAATATATATATTGCTCGCGCTTATATACATTATGTATATATACTGAACGCGATTTTGAAGAGAAAAGAAAATTGTGATGCCGTACTGGACACACTTGGAACAAATAATATTTCCAATGATACGTGTAAAGAATTCCTTTGCAATTTAATTGTGGCATCGCTCCTTGCAATTTGCTAAAAAAAAATCTAGCAAGGAATAAATAGAAATAATGTTTATATGAATTATTATTATTAATAATATACGTTACAAAAATAAAATTAAGAGTTGGTTCATGCTTTTAAGAGATTTAGTTTCATGCTTGTTTCAAGAAAAAAAAAATATGGCAAGCAAATATCAGATCCAGCTATTCTCTTTGAATCGAAGCGACTTAATACAATATACTAAATACACAGGCGAGTGGGATGATCGATACTGTTTATTTTTACATTAACATTCATACTTCTTCTTTTATGCAATTTTGCGATGCATCTTATGATAGGATCGCATGTTTCTGGTGTTCATGATATCTTGGAAACGCTTCGATTCAAAGCGAAGTATGGTGGTGAAGGAAAGCATTCAAAATATAATTTACTTTAGATAGAACAAAATATGTATAGAATTTTATTATGCACCATTGTAATATTATGTATCCCAGTTGTGACACAATATACACTGGTGTTATGTTAAATGTGAACACTATGTGTCCTGTCTTATATGTAATAATTTCCCATGTTTTAGTTTTATTATAAATAAAAATGTCTTCTCTATATAGTATAAAATAAAGTCCCTGGTGGGCGTCTGTCTGTTTGTTCGAGCTAATCTCCAGAACCACTCGACGAATTTTGATTGCGGTTTTCACTCGCGTTCCACGTCGAAACAACACTTTTTCGTGTCGAGGTCAAGAGAAAAAACGACTAATATTGTCTATAAGAAGATCCTTTAAGTACTTGGTTAAAAAAAAAACTCTTAAACTACTCAATAGTAAAGATTAAACTTCTAATGAACTTTAATTCAATTAAATAAAGAGAAATTCTTAAACAACTTTTAAACTAAAACAGTTTCTCGTGTGAATTCTCGGTATTTTCGTTGAAATCAATAGCCATCTAGCGGTGAATATGCCGAACTAATTTTCGGAGTATGGTCAGCGTCTACTATCGGTAAAACGCTCAAGTTTGTCCGCAATAGTTCCTTTTTTCACGTCTAGATGGCGCCATTTACACTGTTTCTTTTTTCTTACCGACAACTATCGGTACATTACCATCATGTCGGTAACTTACCATTAAATGGCGCTATCTAGACGTGCAAATAGAAATTATTGAGGACAAACTTGAGCGTTTTCCCGATAGAGGCGCTGACCATAATCCGTAAATTAGTTCGGCCTGTTCACCGCTAGATGGCTATTGATTTGAGCGAAAATAGCGGTAACCCATAAAAATTTTCATAGTTTAAAAATGAAGTCTGATAAAAGGAATCTGGCCAGTACCAATTTTAGCGAAACAAGTGACAAAAAAAAACGACCATGCGAGTGTTTTCTTGACCTACGCTGCCTAAACCATTAAAGATATCTCTAAACAATGTACGAAAGAAATGTTGAGTATAAAAAGTTCGTGTCAGGATAACCGGTTTTATGTTATGGTTTGTAGCATCAAAACAAGTAAAGCGTACGAGCTATTTTTTACAGTATAAACTGTTCATTCAGCTGAAGAATCTAATACGGATGAGTCATGTCCTATCTGTTTAGGGACAAGGGTCAAACGCAAACAGGTTTCGATACTCACTTCAAGGGTAAGCTTCTTTAATTGAGGAAAAGACAAAATTATCAAACGCCCCCCCTTTAAAGATCTTATTGCATTTATAAGTATCTCTTCAATCCCCACTTCTCCCCACTCTGCGAGCAAATATGGTACTATAAATACTGGAACAAAATGAAACATCATTCAATTCTATTTACACTTTTTACTGGAATCTGTTCAGTGTTTATTTTATCGCGCCGTACAAACTTGCAACTATCTACATTGTTGAGATAACGAAATTTGTAAGTTCACGTTTTTATTTTCGTTTATCTTGATCCTATATCGTGCCATCGAGTTCAGGCTTTTAACGCAACACGAGCCTTTTTAATCCTGGTCAAAAAACAACATTATCGCATTATCGAGCTAGATATTTACTTCCGGTAATAGTTCCTCGTTGATTTTGCAACTACTTATCACGGAAGACTGCAGAGATTCCTAACATATTAAGTAAAAATAGATCAAGTACGAAGCCTTGAGAGTTATAATTATTAATCATAAGATGCTAAGTGCCATTACAAGCAGAAACAGAACCAGGAATCACAAAATTCAGATAGTCTAGCTGCTTGGTACTTTGCAATTAGTTAAATTAAAACAGTAGTTGCACGTTCAGTTTTTTTTAAGATAATTGCTTGTAAACACGCACTAATTGACACGCACGATCTCTAAACTACCCAGGATTTATCATTTAACAATTTGTTAGTAAACAGCTTATAGGAGAGGTTGCAAAACACTAAAAAAGTATTATCCAAATTTGAAGTCACACCATTGTGTCAGCAACAGCAAAGATCTCTCTTGAGATCGTAGGCCAACAGATCAACTAAAGAACGCGGTTGTTTCGATAAAAAATACAGAGTCTAATAGTCTATTTGTTTTTGTTGGATTTGCGTGTCATCCCGGGGAAATTAATAACAACTCGCTCTTAACTACGTAACGTGTAGATGAGTTTGCTTGGCTTCTACGGCTTGCGGAAAGTTCCCATCATTGAATGATGAAATTTTCTATGTTTAATATTTAGAAAAATTATACGGAAAAACAGCCCAACGAAGAACCTTGGCATACCATAACTTCATAGCTATGTTAATGTAAACAGCTAACCAGAATATTTCCATATTCTCAATAACACTTCCTACAATTACATTTATCACTTCAAACTACTCACGAGTTTAAAATTAAGTAATATAGTATTTTGTTTTAGCAACATATCTAACCATAATTGTCGAGTAAGCCTATGGTGAAGGTGCTACAAAGTGCACGCACTGAAGAGTACAGAAGCAATCGGTAAAACTAGACAGTCGTGAAACTTTTGCCAAAATGATTACCGGTATATTATTTATCACACTTGTCGGATTGCTTGTACACTATGCTGCTCTACAGTATGGAAGGCGTGGAAGGATGATTAATAAGATACCAGGTCCTCGAATGGCACCATTTATTGGAAATTTGTTGGACTTTCAGACTTCATCGGGTAAAGTCAGAAAGTTTCGATCACTCATTTCATTGAACATTGACCTGTATTTTTAAATCTGTTACAAAGAAAGGAATCATAAGTAGATATAGATCTATTGTTAATGAGTACTATATGCCTCTTATCGATATAATACTATATATAAATCTCTTATCGATTAACAATGATACAAATAACAGATCAACACAATTTGATATACATCCGTTATTATAGCTGAAATTTGGAAATATATGCGTCATCTTGCCGATGAATATTATCCAATTTATAGACTTTGGTTTGGTACGACGCCAACCGTAAATCTTCGCCACCCGGACGACGTCGAGGTAATAACAAAATTGTTTGTAACTAACTATTCACTACTTTTTACACATTACATCGCTTCTATAATTTTACTAATAGTTACTAAAGTTAAAAACAAAAAAACAAAAGAACTAACAAATTTCTGGATTCAGATAATTCTTGGAAGTCCGAAATACATCCATAAAAGCAGTATGTACGATCCCGTGATACCTTGGTTAAACACTGGACTTCTTACCAGTTCAGGTACTTCCGTTCTTATTTTCTTTCTGCAGAGTAAGTCTAAAAATTCGAATCGCGTAGCAATTTTTTTCCGAACAAAGATAGGAAAGGGTTCTACGTGAGAATGCGTATTTGTTTGAAAGATTGAAGTTGGATCATTGTTTCGCGCTCTACGTTCGTTAATTTCTATCAGGTGCCAAGTGGCATCAACGCAGGAAGATATTGACGCCCGCCTTTCATTTCAATATATTGCAACAATTCGTTGACGTTTTCGTCGAGGAATCGAACTATTTGATCGACTCGTTGAAGAACGAAGGGGGACCATCCGTACAAGAATTGGTACCTTTCTACAGCAAGCACACTTTGACTATAGTATGCAGTAAGCTATAAAACATGTTAATAATGTAAACGATAACTAAGCTATCTTGGAAGGTCGCGATACGTTTCCGGAATTATTGTTTCTCCCGATGGAATAATTTCCTGTGAATCCGTTTTCAGAAACGGCAATGGGAATTTCGTTGCGCGATAAAGGGAGCTTTCAACCCAAGTATCGAGAAGCTGTACACGATATGGGACAGCTTGTAATATACAGGTAAGTGATCAGTTGCGATTTATTTTTTGCTCTTGATGACCGAGTACTGATTTTGTAGAATAACAAGACCGTGGTTTCAATCAGAATTTCTCTTCAATCTCGTTCCCCAAGGATGGCGTCAAGCTAAAGTACTACAAATATTGCACAAATTTACTACAGAGGTAAGAAATACCTACAGTGGGTGTAGAATGTATTCGTACGCCGATCAATTTCCAAAAAAAACTATGTAAAATTGTAATTTATCCTTTTCCTTTTATAAATATTACTATTTAAGGAAATGGAAGAAACTTTTGGGACAACCTAATACAATTTCACACAAAAGTTTTTTTGGGAAATTTATCGGTGTACGAATACATTTTACACCCACTGTATTATACCTAATATTTATTAGAATACAGTTGCGTTAACGATACGTTAAAGGTCATCGAAGAAAGGCACAATTATCACAATCAGACCAACAATCAATACCTATCGAATTTTAAGAAGGATTCAAATCAAACGGATGATGACATTGACGAAAAAAGTAAGTGACGCGTGCTTATTATTAATTAGGTACAGCAACATTTTTGTACGGCTTAATAATATCTAACAACGAATTTATAAAATATCACTTGTTGCAGTTGGCAAAAGAAGGCTTACTATGCTCGATCTTCTGATAGAAACTCATCGAAAGAATCAGATAGACGACGAAGGTATCAGGGAAGAAGTAGACACATTTATGTTTACGGTTTGTTTGTTTTTTTGTCACTGTTCAGTTTTAATTCTTGCGCGATAAAATGCGTTATAAATCAACGTTTGTTTCAGGGACACGATACCACGGCGACTGCCCTTACCTATATCACTATGCTTCTAGCCGAACACAAAGAAGTACAGGTGATTCCACTTTGACGATTTTAATTTATACACTTAACAAATGTATCAAATATCCTTTGATCTTTGATATTACACTGTTCAGACAATTAGGTCTAACGAATGCTTTCAGGATCGAGCCAGAGCCGAAATAAACGAAGTTCTAAATGAAATTGACGGCAAAGTAACCATGTCCACTTTGCAAAATCTGTCATATCTCGACAGATGTATCAAAGAAAGTCTTCGGCTTTATCCAAGCGCACCAAGTATATCTCGTCGTCTGGAAACAGACGTACAATTAAGTAATTATCATATATTATAAAGCTATTAACACGTTTGGATCTGCCCCAACTCGCAACTCGCAACTCGCAAAATGCAGTGTAAATTGGGATCACTGCAAAATTTAACTCACGTCTGTGTGTGGCAGGAATTTCGTCGATGTTTAATATGGTCTTTTAACGTTTTCAGAAAATTACACATTACCAGCTGGTGCTGTAGTCAACGTGCACATAATAGACGTGCACAGGGATCCAAACTTCTGGCCAAATCCAAAAGTTTTCGATCCGGACAGATTTTTGCCTGAGAATGTGGAAAGACGTCATCCATATGCTTATGTACCTTTTAGTGCTGGTCCGCGTAATTGCATAGGTAAGAAAAGCGTGAATATGCCTGTTTCAGATACATAGTACGAAGTTATACAAGATTCTGAAGTACCCATAAACCTTGTATATGTACGTGGTTCTATCTTCCTTTGTTTTTATTACATTTTTTAATTTTTTTTTTTTAATTTATAGGACAACGATTCGCTATGTTAAAAATAAAAGCAACGTTATTATATTTATTACATAATTTCTATTTAGAACCCATTGATCATCTCAAAAATATATCTATTGACATCAATCTCACTCTACAACCTACACGTAGTCCCAAAGTTAAATTCATTCCCATTCAAACCACGGAATGAAAATCACATGCTGAAAATGGAACAGCTGTCTTAAGTAATGTAATGTAATAACGACAACGTAACGATGTCGTAAGGGAAAAGGGATAAATTTTGGGAAATGTTTCATTCGTTTAATAAAACAATTTTCTTAAATTTATATGCAAATCTAAATTGTAAATAAATTATTATTACCCATTCGCGCCTAAAACGCCCCTACCGACAAGCAACCCGGTCCTCGTGTGGGTTGAAATTTCACCCACGAAATTTGTCGCGTACACTTGTCAAATGTCAAATACAAAACTTTCAATGTTAGAATCTAACTCTAAATTTTAAAAACAATGTCAAATTTATAAGTTTTATGAATATCGACTCTTGAACACAAAATTAAAGACGAGTAATTCACCTACATTTTAAATCAAAAGAGAAATCGTTTTAACAGTAATGATGGACTTTTATTTTTTTATACAATGAACTCTTTCTTTCACTTAACCTTCTAAAAACATGTTTAACGTAGTATAGAATACTATCAATTTTCTGTAATGAAATAAAAGATGTCTATTTTTTAGTGAAGGGTACTTCAAATAATAATAATATTCCTATACCGGCATATGGTACAACAAGATATACTGAAGCAATTCACATAAAAAAGGATACAAAAAACTCTTTAAAAAATTGTCTATGTAGTACATACATTGAACCCTTGCTATCACGTATACAATCAGATAAGAAGATAAAAAAAATGGTAAAATCTAATCACTACAAATATTAAAATTATTTATGTTATTAATAACTATAAAAATTGATATACTCAAGTTAAAAAATGTTAAAAGTTAAATAAATTATAAATGTTTCCATTAAAATAATATATATATATTCTTTGATGTTTTTTACATATATGAAGAAATATATAAAAGCATCAAAGAAGAAAAATAATATTTGTAAAGACGCTGACACAACTATTTCATCGATTTGTGAGAAACCAAGAGAGAAAGATAGTGTATGTACAGACACAAAATCGAACATATCATCAATTTGTGACAATAAAATTAGCACATCCAGTACTTGTGTATGCATGAAAGGAATACAAAAATATAAGATGCCTTACAATGTTTGTTTAAAAGCTGAACAAGAATTATCAGAGACATCTAGTCTATCATCTTCAAATTTGAAACAAATTTTTACTGAAGTCCATTGTACTAGTCCAAAATTGATACATTCATATGAAGAACAGATGCATTGTACACCAGATCAGGAAGAAGTAGATATTTATAATTTTGATCTAATCGAAGCTCATCCTAGAGAAGAACCTCAAATAAGAACTAAAGATTTAGCACCACCTGGACACGACATAACTTTAATTCTTCCAGAATCTAATAACAAACTTGAAACTAGCTTTGACTCCCTAAGTATATGCGATGACAAGTCTGAAAATATAAATGACTTAACATATACTCACAGCACATTAGAACTTTTCTGGAATGTACTGCACTATGGAATGAATAAAAAAATACCTGAAAAATATACTACAGATCTCTTTCAGTAAGGCTACATTTAAAAAGTAATATATACATTTTCATGTAAGAGTAGCAACTTTTTATCATGCAATTTTAATTGCAGAGTTGAGACGGAAGAGTCAACGTGTTCATGTCCAAATATATTGTATAATAGCAAAGATTACAAAAATGTATTCCCAGATATAAATACTTGTACTATGTGTTGTTCACATGAAGTATCACGAAATAAGGTAAAAATCATATACTCCTGCATATATTTTATATAAACGCTTCATATAAAGAATGGATGGTTTCGACTCTGTTGCACCGGTTGGTAATGATCTAACAATTGGTTATACTTCATCGTTTTGAATTAACCGCTATAGCAGTACAATAATTTCCGTAAAATAAAATATTTTATCAATTTCTTTAAATGTAAAGAAATGCCGTTTTAAAACCCAATTTAATAAAATATATATGTACAATCCGTATTTATATATATGTATTTATGCGCCATGAATTGGGTTCTTGAAAACATTTACGAAGACGCTCATTTTCATTGTGGCCATGTGGCTTTGGTCAACACCACAGCACGTTGTGAATTAAACGTGATCTCGTGTTTAGCTCCTCCGTGAAGCGATTTTTAAGAATAATCGCCGAGAGGTTGCTTATTCTTGACGGAAAATACTTTGTTTTTACAGAAGAGTCTCAAGTATAACTCGTAAAAAATGGCAAGTACTTTATAGTTATTTGTTTTCATTTATCCACGTGTCATATTAAAGGTTATGTTTTGTACGTGGAACGTTATTTGAACTAATTGTATTACTTTACTTTACTTTACTTATTAAGTTAACTTAAAGTTAACATTATTTGTATACCAAATAAAAAATGTAACTTGTTATATTTTATTAAATATCTGTAATTGTAAATTTCCTAACTGTTAATGTTTTTTTATACAGACTGACGAAGTTAATCCAAAAGCATATCCTTTGGCTGATGCAACGTTAACGGCGAAAATCTTAAATTTAGTACAGCAAGCAATGAATTATAAACAATTAAGAAAAGGAGCTAACGAAGCAACAAAGACATTAAATCGTGGTTTATCGGAATTTATTGTAATGGCTGCTGATGCAGAGCCATTAGAAATTTTACTGCATTTACCATTATTATGCGAAGATAAAAATGTTCCATATGTATTTGTTAGGAGCAAACAAGCTTTAGGTCGTGCTTGTGGAGTATCCAGACCTGTTGTTGCTTGTTCGGTAACAGTTAACGAAGGCTCACAATTAAAACCACAAATTCAAGCTATACAGCAAGAAATTGAACGCCTCTTAGTTTAAGTAATTTGTACCTGATTTGAAATCTTCTCTTTCAATATAAAATCTATATTAACATTTATATTTTTTAATAATTTCAAATTTCAAATACTTTTGAAAAATGGAATTATGTATAATTCATACAGTATAATGTGCATCTGTGTAAATTGAACTAATAAAAATTTTTAAAAATATTGCTGATTATTATATTCATTTATAGTAAATGTTTCGTGTAAATTGTTTGCTATAAGTATCTGGTACATATTTACTAATTTAATATTTGTATGTAGTATAAAAAGGTGACTGATGCAAGACCTATAGCCATTGGAACATTCTTGGATGAACTCCTAACTTTAATAAAAGTATTAAACAAAATAGATAGAAGTATGATTATCACTGGATTGACTGATGTAACAAGTTCAATTATGAATAATGAAACTGAATTAATTATATTAGCTGCTGATGCAATGCATTTAATAATGCCTTTAAATTTTTTTGCACACTTAACAAATTTAGCAGTTAAAAGACATATATCTTTCGTATATGTTCCTAACAAAGAAGAACTAAGTCAAGCATGTTGCATGATTTCTGAAATAAGCATAATTTCTATAAAAAGAAATGTATCTTATTTTTCAGAAGAAATTAAACATATTAAACGCATTCTAAAAACATTAACATGATTTGTACGATCCAATAACATATAGCTTTTTAAAATAAAATATTTACAAGAACAGTTTATAATTTCGTTGAACATTTTTTAATAAGCATAAATAACTTGATGTGTTTTGTAATGAATATATGCAAAAGTTTGAAAGAATATACAGATTTATAAAATTAATATACTAAGCATTATTTAAAATGAGACAACACAACAGAAGTCCAGTTACCATCCCACCGATTTTCTTGAAAATTGCGGAGTTCACGTCGGAATTTTTCATCTAATTTGTGTTGAGATTCATTATTAGGGAAATTTTCAAACCATGATATTAAGTGAGTTGTTAGTTCTTTCTCATTTGAAAAAATCATTCCATTTTCGTAATGTATAACAAGTTCTGGTAAACTGAAAAATAAAAAACCCAAAAATCATAGCAATAAGGAATAATATTTTATAGTATTGTAAAGCATCAAATTTGTTATACTACTTGCCATTTAAAATTATATGCACAAACCGGAAGTCCGCATCCAAACATGTCCACAACTTTCATTGGCAAATCCAAACCACTAGATGAGGTATGAAGACAAATACCTAAGTCTGCACTAGCTGTATACAGTGATTACATTCTTTGTATTAATTAATCTGTATAAAATCAGTACAGAGTACATTTTGTGTTATACTTGAATACCTAGTATTTTAGGATAATCTTCACTTTCAAGCCAAGGTGTTATAATTGTTACATGTTTCCAATTTTTTAACTTTATAATAGCCATATAAAATTCTTTTAAAGGACCTTTACCAGTTATCACACAAATTAAGTTAGGTAAATTGCAAGTTTCTTGTACAATTGCATTTTCATATTCTAGAAAAATATATATATAATAATATAATCTACTCCAAATTCCATTACATGTAAAAAAACTTGCTTGTGTTAAAATAAATAAAAACCCACCTTGTAATGCATTTAATAATATTGAAAAATCTTCATCTTCTGTCCAACTAGTACTTGATACAATAAAGCCAGGTCTTTCAGAAGATAAATATACTTTGTTTAATCTATATTCTGTAAATACAGTTGAATTTTCTTTTGAACCTTTAAATATATTATATTTTTCACTTAATTTTGATAGAAATGTATGTTTTTCCATTAATGATATAGATTGAAATATATTTGCTGGGCGATCATATAATACTTCAGCTCTAAACAAGAAGAAATTATTAAATTATATATTTAAAATAAAAACATATACATAGAAATACTAACTTAATTCCCCATTTCTCTTCTAAGTCTTCCTTAAATGCTTTGGAAACACAAAAATTACTTTGAGCTTTAGAACCAAAGTAGGTTTCAATTATTTTTGCAACTTTGACTAATAAGTGATCGTTTCTTAAACTAAGTGCCATAATAGTATAAGCATAATTATGCCAATCAATAATAAATTGTGCATCCATTATAATGGAATAAAACCAACAAATGGGAAATGTTGGTATTGCTGGTGGGTTTTGTAGAAGAATATAACCTGGTATTCTCTTTCTAAACAAAACCCATAACAGAGTAACGGTTTGCCATACTGTTTTTACTACATAGCATGGAAGACGAGATAACTCTGAAATGTAAAACATGTTTCATTTTCAAACTTTTTTGAAAACAATCGGCGTTACTATGTTTTGTCGATTGCGGAATTCAAATGCAACATATGTGACAACAAAATTTACTTTAATTATAACTAGTTAAGCGTACTGTAAGCGCGTAATGAAATTGATAACATACTATCGTCTAATTCTGGCGGAGGTGGAAGGTAATAAATACGTATGCAAGGATTTTCTCTTATTTCTTTTAGCGGCAATGAGCCGGAATAACCTATACAATCTACCGTAAATCCTTCTTTTGCGAACGATAGTATATGATATTGCATTCTAGGACTTCTACCCAAATCTCCGAGAACAACGATACAGACATTCTTATGTTCTTTATATGCATTTAAATACAATTTTCTAATTAAAGCAAAAATCAAAGCAAACACGCATAATAAACAAATCGTCCACATTTTCAATCAATACACAGTCGAAATACATAAGTAAGTTGTATAGTATCATATTCATATATACACACATGTATACACAGTATATAGTGGCGCCATCGGTGGTAAAACGCCCAAGTTTGTTGTAAAAATAGTTCCCACGTTTTCTATGAGATGGCTAGTACGTAATAGTACTATATGAAAGTACATACATTGTATATGGCAGAGATGGGCAAAACCCTAGGCTTCAAATAAATCTGAAGTTTGCCGATGTGTTTGTCTCGTTTCTTTCTATGGAAAATGTTCAAAAGAGGAAACGAGACAAACATATCGGCAAACTTCAGATTTATTCAAAACCTAGGGTTTTACCCATCACTGGTATATGGTATTCCAGTGCAAGCTGCACGTAATAATAGATAAATGTAATGTAAATGTATTTCTTTCTTGATGCTATGAAGAGTTTTGAAATGTTTACGTCTTTTTGATTAAAGAAGGCCTCTACATAACACTATCCCTACTATAGAGTGCTAACCACGTTCTGCATTATGATTCGTAGAATCGGTTGGCGAGCGTAAGTGCTCTACCAATAAGAAGATTGAATACGCTTCCGTTACATCTGTGTCGTAATGTTTGCACTCCCATTCATAATAATAATATAAAAATATTGTATTTGGCATAGAATAAGATATATTTGCACAATAAACTTGTTAGTTTTATTAAAGACTAATTCTTTTTATAAAAAAAATTAATTTGAAAGACGCGAACATAGTAAAAATTGTAATTCCTAGTGCCCTTGCCAATAATGATCTAAAATAAATGGCGGGAATATTGCAATCAAATCTATTTTAATACCAACGCATAGTGTCATGGCGCCAAAATCTTACGCTACGCGTGTAACAAGAATAAGTGTTAAACTGGTTACTTTTACAATATCGTTTGCATTTTTGTAGTTTTTCTCGTGCAGTGATGAAGGATGAAAAATATTACACAATATTTTGTAGACACTGTAAAATCTAGCGAAATCACAATACGTTCTAACGATTATACGAAGGAAGAAATTGGATCTAAAGATGATTTGAATAAAAAGCATAATCGTATTAAAAACAAAATATCTCGAACTAATAATAAAGAAACAGAATGTGATGTTATAGAAAACAATAATGACATGATTGATAAAACACGTACTCCATTAACCAAAGTAAGTAACGTGAAAAAAAATTCACGTGAAACATCGAAAAGATCATCCTCATCGAAATTACCATCGCAAAAATTCCAAAATGAAGACTTGAATTGTTTGTTATTAGAAAATGAAGATATCTTCGACACGAGACCGAAAAGTCGAAGTGAAAAACAAAATTCTCGAAATTCTTTAAACAATGATAAGAGTTATAAGAAAAAATTGAAAGCTAAAAAAAACACTAATACTGATACAAGCTTAAATAGTTCATTTAAAAACAAGGATGATACTGACGATCTAGACTTATTAATTATTGATTCTGATGACCCAAATGAACAGGAAGATTGTCTCGAAGAATCTAATGCTTTTAAAATTATTATGAGTAGCAACAAACCAATGCAACGAATATCTCCGACAAAACTTCCTTCTCCAACTGACGAAACAACTAGGAATACCGAAGAATATAAAAAGAAAATAAGACGTTCTAAAGAAAGGCTTATAGCTTTAGCAGATAAAAAAGGATATTCCAAAAGAAAATTGTCAGAAATAGAGGAAGGTGAAAAGGTGGAACGAATTATTCAAAATCGTATAAAAGCTTTTAAAATGGGAGAGAAGAAAGATAATGTAAGCACACCTGTTTTAACACAAAGACAACCACATGGCATATTAAATTACTTCAGGTAACAGAATTTTCTTTCATTCAATAAGCAATAATTTCAATTTTACATTAAAATTTTTTATTTTATCTGATAGCAAAACACCGATGAACTTAACACACACAAATATATCGGATATGTCTACTATTGTAGTCAAAGCTGACGTGCACATGACAGAAAATTCTGTTAAACACAGTGGGTGCATTTCAAACTCAAAGAATGAAGTACGACCAAATAGGAAAAATGGATCAGATTTACATTTCTCTCAAATAGATGATATTAGTATTATAGAATCTGAAAATATTAATATATCACAAATAAAAGCAGAACATAAACAACAGCAAAACAATCATAAACGTAGATGGTCCTTAAGAGTTAAGCTTCGAAATTGCAAGGATGAAAATTCTTTGTCAGGTAATTTATAATTCGGTGAATATAATAAAATAAAATTGTCCAATATTTAAAACAAATTTATTACATATGATGAAAAAAAAATCTAGAAGCCTCCTAAATTATATTTTGGTTGTAGGCAATGAATTTGTACACTTTGATCGCTGATTCTTTGATTTTTATTTATTATTATTTGTACGTGTCTGTTTTCCTCATTTAAATATTTCTTTTTAATATTTTTTAAAAGCAGAAAATGTTAGTGTTGAAGAAATACTCTCGCCAAGAAGCAAAACTAAGTTAAACATGGAAAAATTGAAAAAATCTGAAAGAATTAAAAGTGTTTGTTCAGAAAATTCATTATTGAACAATAAGAGCAAGAAAAGTATACCAAAAAAACTACAGGAACTTGAGCAATTAGAATGTCTTGAGGATAATATAATCCAAGACAAAAAACATTCAAAAACCCAATTTGAAAATAAACATAAATTCATGTCTCATAAGTGCGAGTCAATTTTAACACAAAATAAAAATTTAACCGATTTTGTTGACTCCAATTTAGAAAATGTTACTGAAGTTAAATTAAATAAAACAAACCGCATAATTAATGATGATAATTCAAAGAGAAAGCCGACTGATAAATTGGCTCCTTTATTTACAAAACGACAAAAACCAGATCCAGAAACTATAGCAGCGCGACAATTGTTTTTACAGCCAGATATAACAGATAAAAGTAATAAAAATATAGATAGAAAAGTAAATAGTTTTGGTGTATTACCATTTCCAAGTATTAGTCACGTTACGCAATTAACCAAATTAAGTAGCAATTTAATAGACAACTTCGATATTCCAGAAAAGATTTGCAATCAATATGTTCCAGATTTAAATGTATACAACTATAAATGTGTAATAGACGTTTCTGAAATAAAGTTAAAATTACCAAAAAATATTAAGAAACCAAAAGTTCAGGAAGTATTAACAGAAATAGAAAAGAATTGTCCAGATGTAAGAGAAATGTGGAATATTATTTTATTCGCTTTTGGTAGAAATTCTAACGAAGCAGTAACATTAAAAACAAAAAGTAAAAGAAGTAAACAATCTGAAAAAAGTGAAACATCTAAACATAAACATAAATCAGATGAAATTGAAGGTTGTAGCTGGACTTATAAGTATAGACCAAAAAATGCTAAGGAGGTAGTTGGAAATGAAGAAGCTGCTGCAAAATTGAGAGAATGGTTAATTGGATGGAAAGCAACATTTACGAATGAGAATGATAGCAGTGGAGATGAATTTTATTCATCGGATAGTAGTTATTCAAGGATTAGTGGAAATAATCAGGTAGCTGTATTATTAGGACCACATGGTAGTGGAAAGACTGCTACTGTATATGCATTAGCAGAAGAATTCGGTTACACGTTAGTACACACTATTAATATTTATATAATGCATTTAAATCTTTTAGATTACATGTAGTAATTGAAAAAGAACCCTGTTTTGTTTAGTGTATTAGAAGTAAATGCATCGTCTAGAAGAACTGGAAAAAAACTGTTGAAAGAATTGGAAGAAGCAACTAAATCACATCGAATTAAAAAAGAGGACAATGCAATTCCTCTTTTTAATTCAATTTCAGATGAAATTTTACCAAAGAAAATACCACAAAATTCGCTCATTCTTATAGAAGACATTGATCTTGTGTTTGAAGAAGACGAAGGTTTCACTTCCGCTACATATCAATTAGCATCAAATACAAAACGTCCAATTATCATGACGTGTAGAAATGTTTGTCCACATTTAACTAAAATGGCACCTCAACAAAATAGAATTTATTTTCAAAGTCCTACTGGGAGTAAAGTGCTTGCTTTATTAGAACTGATTTCATTGGCAGAAACTGGTTACAAACTTCCAAATGATTGTATAACAGTAAGTATTGTTACTATAAAATTCGAATATATTATAAATTGTAAATAAGTAGTAGAAACCAAGAGAATGTAATATTATATCACAGAACTTTTTGTTCATAGGAACTGATGCAATCTGGTGATTTACGCAAAGCTATACTACAGTTACAATATTTATTGCTATCTGGTCCCATACAAATGTTTGAACAGTCTATAACTTTTAAGCACTCATTTTGGCAAAATATGCGACATTGTTTGTATAAACCAGCAATTAAAGCGAGTAAAAGACAAAGAACAAAAAGGATTCCAGGCAAAAACGTAGCGAATGATAATATAGATGTATTAAACGATGTAGCACATAGATTAGATAACATAGTTTTATTGTCGTCTTTAATCGAGGTAGAGGATAGTGCGTTAAACTTGTGGCAAATAAATACACAGCCTAGCCTGTCTTTAATTGAGAATACTGATCCATATTCTGTTTCAAATAATATATGTTTAAACATGGCTGAGTGGATAAGTAAAAAAGTTATGTATAAAGATAAATTAAATGAATTTGATGGAACTCGATATCAACATAATATTGGATTAAAAAAACAACTAAATAAAGGAATTAATGTAGCATTATCGAACACCACATCTTTAGTACTCGATCGTCGAATTATGTCTACAGATTATCTTCCATCTGTAAGAACGATATGTAGAGCAGAAGAGTGCAGAGCTAACATAAATAATAAGAGAGGAAATCGGTTCTTTCACTATCTTCATAGCTTGAAAGTATCATCTATATCATTCCAGCCTAACATTTTATCAGCAGCATGCCAAGTTATGTATGACAAAGGGGATAATGATACGCGTATAATTAAAAATAATTCTAATCTCATTTAACAATTTTTTACTGTATGGATTATAAGAATGGTTATATATATTTTCAAATATACATTATTTCTAACAATATGCAAAGTATATTTAATGACAAGTTTTTTGACGATAAAACTACTAATATTATGCAAATGCAAATATTTTGTTTGGTCTTTTAAATGAACTAGATTATATAGGCCATTGATGATGACTATCTTCACAATATCAAAAATTAAAATTGAATATTTTATAAATGCATTGTATTTTAATAATAAGAGTATGTCATATTCTATAGTTGTTTTTGACACAAGATTGTTGTACAAAATTGTATCATAGTGCTTTTGAAGTGCCTATTAAAATGATTGATTATAATGTTTTTGAATTTTATGATTATACACAATAAAATGTCGTCGGAAGTACCTATTAACATGATTGTGTATTTTAAATATTATAATCATAATAAAGACACATATTTATTATTAATTAATACTTTATTTTTTTTTAGTAAATATCATTTCATCGTGACATTTAAATTTTTATGTGGTGTAACTTTCGATTTAACTCTTCAAACTTCAGAATCTTTCGTATGAAGAAGTCACCGTAACGGTGCGCTACTTTAGTATCAGCAATATGGATCATATCATGATCAATATAAAAGTCCAACTGTAATAATGATATACATTACAAAATTATTATTTTTCATAGCTAATATAGAATAACGAAAACTCATATCAATAAATAAATTACCTCCGAACCAGATTGAAATTTGCCATCCAATCCAGATGCACCCTTTGTCCAAACAATATTTTTCATTTTATGCTTAAAACATAATAAATGAATAGTTAGAGTGCTAACTTCTTTTTCCAAATCCCAATTTTCTTCAGATCTGTTATTGCTACACATAAATGTGGCCAGTTTACTTAATGGCAAAGTAGTATATAATTTTAAATATGAACGAATTGTTGGTAACATTTTCTGCTGAATTACTTCGTCCATAAAGACTTGAGTCTGGTGCTTGATTGCTTCTCGTACATAGTCCTCATTCGGATTTTCAGGATTCGGCGGAGTGAGGGACAAGAATTTTGGGCATGCAAATAGAAAGCATGATTCGAATTCTACTAAATCTCCATATTGCATCTTATACATTTTTTCATGATAATTTTTATCTCGAAGTGCCTGTTGTAATCCTTCATCTATACATTGGGGATGAAGCACGAGACAGATAGCTAACAAATGATACATCTGATCTGTTTGCTTATTAATTTGATCGTTCTGGTAACTTCTTGTCGCGAATAATTGCTTTGTTCTTTGAATATATAACAAAATACCAGAAAATGTTCTGATTGCATCTGCGTATCTACGCATCATCATATATGCAAAACCAACATAATATGCAGTTGATATCTGACAACCAGGTACATGAGAGTATGCACTTTTTTTATAGAGTTCTACATTCTCTAGCACTTTGATAGCTTGATAATAATCTCCCAAGAGAGAATGTAAGCGTAACAAGCCTACAAGAGAGAAATATCCAAGCATCTTATACAAAGAATGTCTTCCAAATACACCTGCAACAGAGTCTGGATCTCCACCGCTCGCGTATACTTCTAACTGACTCTTGATTTTTGATTTGTCAACCAAATAATGTAAAACATTTAAAACACAAAGTACATCCCATATTTTGTTATGAGCATTCAAGTTTTCAATTTCTTCTGGTGTTTTATTGGATATATTTGCACGATATTGCGTGAAAGATTGAAATTGATAAACAAATTCATCAATGAGCTCCCATAACCATTGATCGGGTAACTCCAATTGAACTGGTGTTTCTGGATGTAATATGTAATTAAAAAGATCGCAATAATTATAAAAAGAACCAAGACGTTGTTCCAATGTCGGCCCCTGCATTCTAGCATAAATATGACGATAATACAGTTCCTTATAGAGAGTGAGGAACACCAGATCATTGTCAACTATATGTGCAACTGCTTGAGCATCTGGCCAAGAAGACTTATCGAACAACTGTTCTGATATTTTCGGAAATGATGTTTCATAAAGATTTTGTATCTCAAAAATCATTCCTTCATTTATGCAATTTCGTAAGAATACCAGAAAATTTCGTACAACTTCTGGCACTTGACGGTAAGTTACTCTGTCATATTGGTCACTGTGGACGTCTGTTGGCCCATAGTCATCGTATGTATCATACTGAAAATTTTATAAATATTAACTTCATTGATGTAATAATAATTTTATCTCATTATTGTCCAATCAATACTTACCTCGTTATATTCTTCGTACATGATGGCTAAGTATATTTAACTTTATACGAGTAGATTTACTTAACCTATACGTTAAGGAGGGTACAAAATCTAACCAAGAAGAATTACGAAAAATACACGAGCCACATAGTAGTATAGTCATAAACTATTCTAGAGCAAGATTCACTTTTACACACTTTTGACGTAAAGGAAATGCCAGGTGGTGACATCAGACAGTGATGTAAGATGCGAAGATTTCCGTCTGCAGCGCCGTTTGCGGTACAGTGAGGAAGTATCGCAATACGCATTTGCGATACGTATCTGCTAGCAAGATACTTTTGCGATACTGTATCCAACTAATTTCGTAGCTCGGTGTTGATCATTTGTTTTTCAATTAAACATATCTTCTCGTTTGAGAAACACGCATTCTTAGTTAGTGAAAACCTTTCTGAAATAATGGATGAGATTGAAACCTTATCCATTTGGTTTCTACATAAAAAAGCTACTAAAAGGAGAAAAGTTAAGAGAAAATATTGGGTTCATCCTATTAATAATATAAGAAAAGAAACGGGAGCTTTTCATATTTTATTCGAAGAACTTTGTAACGATCCATATAAATTCTTCAATTATTATGTCTAAGATTTTTTTATGAGGAAGGTGAACGAATTCGACGATACTGCGCAGCATCTTGTGAATGCTCGCATCTATTTCAATATTTCGTCGGCCGCCCCGACGCAGAAAAAGTTGCCGGCGACCGACCAACCGCGGATACCGAAAATCAGTATCACGATACTGTATCTCGCGAGAATCGCCGTCTGAACGCTTCCATAACATCCTGCATACGCGTATCGTCGTGTGAAAGAGCTCTTACTCCACCGCAGGTGGCGCTGCAGTCGGAAATCTTCGCATCTTACAACACTGATATCAGAGGGTGTCTGGTTACTCTATATAGTTATTAAATTCACTATATATGTAACCAGTAATTTTAGTCAAAGTATGAATCTCTTTACCGTATTTCATTCTTCATGTTAATAATTAATATAATAATAATTATGACATAAACATTAACAAAGTTGTATGGTAAATTTTAGCCTAAAGGGAAGAGAAATCTGCCCCCCTCTCCTGCCATGCTAATCTACCGCGAAAAAATGAAACTAAACCTTGACCAATTTTCAATTTTGAATTAAAACAATTTTTAGAGTAGGCTAAATTTCTAAATTTTTTTAATTTTTTGGCTTTATAACTCCTTTTTTTTGTAGTCTAACATCATACTAAAAATCCTAAGTTCCATTCATTTTTACATCACTAATTCCCATTAATTTTATCATGAAGCTCAAAACCTGGATAGAACTTATTCCTAGAAAATGTAACACGTTTCCAACTAATTTATTTCTTAATTTTTATTTTATTTATAACAGTAGCACAAATTTACATCCTATATATCGAATAACCTTGTCCTCATGAAAAAAGATCTTTACTGTCTTCATTGCAAATCAGCACCTGTGACACTTTCATTGAACTAAATACATATTGAAATCAATAACAAATGCTCAGTCGGTAATATATTTATAAATTTTCAATTAAAGTACAACGTGTACTTACAACACTTGACAACACTCACTGTCCTGTAACCTAAAATAGAAGTATGTGATATAGAAAATGTATAAATTGCACGATGCTTTACGTTTAACGCAATAAAATGCAGAAATTCCTTAAAGAGCAATAATCTGGGAGCTCTCCAATTCCAATTATAATGTTCTTGCACAAAATATTTGGATTTCGAACGTTATTGGCAATACAATAGGGTAAGCTGAAGAGTACCAGTGGCGATAAAGTAATCGATAAAATTAGTAATTAGAATCGTTATTAAGAAATTTACATGTCATTTTTATCGAATTCGCTATGCAAAGTATTCTTGTAAACGTTGTTCTGTATACATCGTAGAACTCGTAAAATAAATTATTTGTTTTACCTAGAGTAAAAATAAACGAACACGCGATGCACAGTGATGCATAGTTCTGAAGATGTGATCGTAAACAAACATCAATTTAACACTTTGCAAATAAATATAAAACTTTGCCTACACGAAAATGATTAATACAGTGTATTTTAATATATATCTGCTAAATTAAAGTTTCTAAGTGTTAATCATAAATAAAAATCCACTAGTAGATCAAATGAATTGAAAATGACTTATACCTTTTGATGTGAGTATTGTAACATAGTTTAAATATATTGTATACTTGCTTTTAACATTCATAAATATTATGTTTTCTGAAATACTGAATATTTTATTAACATATATTCAATATCACAATATTTTTTTATTTTTAGAGGTCTCTTCGACATTTACTCGAGTTATAATAATAATGTTATTTTGAAGGATACATTATAAGTCGTAACATATTGATTACAGAGTTCCATTAGAAGAACCATCATTAGTCATAATGCCTGGTAAAATAAAAGTCAAAGTATTAGCAGGACGTAATTTACCAGTAATGGATCGTTCGGGTGATACAACAGATGCTTATGTCGAATTGAAGTTTGGCAATATAACTTACAAGACAGATGTGTGCAGAAAATCCCTGAATCCTCAATGGAATTCGGAATGGTATCGATTTGAAGTTGATGATTCTGAACTGCAAGATGAACCATTACAAATTAGATTGATGGACCATGACACATATTCTGCAAATGATGCAATAGGCAAAGTTTATGTAAATTTAAATCCATTACTGTTGCCAGGAGTTCCTCCTACAGTTAAAAACATTTGGACACTGGAGGCTGCTATGAATACAAACACTGGTTCTCAGAGTGGTATGTAATTAAGCTTTGAAATGGATAATGTTTAAATAACTTTGGTGATGCATTATCTCGTTATTTCAGGTTCTGTCTTGACTGGGTGGATACCAGTGTACGATACAATGCATGGTATTCGTGGGGAAGTTAATATTATAGTTAAAGTGGAATTATTTTCTGATTTTAACAAGTTCAGACAATCCTCGTGTGGAGTACAATTTTTTTATTGTAAATATCTTTATTTATTAAAAAGTAAACGGGATTCTTTATAATAGATACATTGCATAATATTATTTTAGCACCAAATATACCTCATGGGTATCATACTCAGAGCATACATGGTTTTGTAGAAGAATTAGTTGTTAGCGACGATCCTGAATACAAATGGATTGATAAAATAAGGACACCTAGAGCCTCAAATGAAGCACGCCAAACGTTATTTTTTAAACTTAGCGGGGAAGTTCAGAGAAAAATTGGACTGAAAGCATTGGATCTTGGTGGAAATGCTGTTATTGGGTATGATAATATATTATGAAATTGTTTTTCATAAAATTGAAGATCATTTAAGATATTATTTCATTATTTCTCTAAATATAGATATTTACAAAATTTTGATCTGGAAGGTGAATCTGGTATTGTGGCTCGCGGAATAGGTACTGCTGTTACTCTTGTAAAGTTACAAGATACTTTAAACTTGCCCTCTGATAACATTGAAGAGTAAGTACATTGCAATGCTTTTTAATTCTTTCATGAACAAGTTGTGGATTAATTATGCTCTGAACTCCTAATATTAATTTAAGTGCTTTTTAATTTGGCAAAGTCTGTAACACTTCATACATGTTAGTGTTCTGTGTTGTGAGTTATAATGCTGGTTATTTAATCAAGTATTGAAATTTGTTTTACTGCACATGTATTTCTTGAGTAGTATGTAATTTTTTATACTGCTTAGTATTAACAAAATGCATGGAGTAAAATTTAAATACTAGTTTTCGATACAAATTTTGTATGTGATACCACATTCCTTTTCATTTTACAAAGAAAGTTTGTTTTCTTTTGATAGCAAAAATGTTAAACAAATTTTGAATCGCTTTTTTTCAAGACATATTAATACTAAGTAGATAAGTAATAATGTACTAATACATTTTGAAAATATACCAATGTATACAGGAAAGTATTCATTTTTATAAGTGTAAAGCGAACGTTTAAATTTTACAAAAATAATTTCGCTTTAACTTCTATGTATATGGTGTCCTAAAAAATGATAAAATATTACTGTAAAATTTGTCTAGTTTCATAGTCTTATATTATTTCTATATTTCGCTTACATATTGTTTATTACTAGTTACAATGAACAATTTAGTTTCTCAAAACTCTCCTCAAAGCTGTAAACGGTACAGTGATATTTTATAAATTTCTAATCAGCTTATCATTTTTCTAGGACACCTGGTATATAGAAGCTAGATCGAGGTCTGATGCGCGTGCATAGAAACCAGGACGAAATATGTAGAAAATGGAGCACTGCGATATACTGGAAATAAAACTAGGTACGCTACACGCGCATCCAACTTTGATCATTAATAATTCGAAAAATGTATAACTGATTACTTGATAATGTTAAATTCCATTCCCCAAGATTTTGTATTTCTTAAGAAATGTGGGAAAACAATACAAAACTATTTAATTAAATATAGTTGCCGTAGTCAAATTTTATTTTTCTATTTAAGTTTTAGAAGAGTTACATTTTATATTTGTATTATCAGAATTTCAATACATGAACTAATAGATATCTTTCTTTTTACCCACTTGCATGTGTTATATAGGGCATTCTTTTTACAACACAAAGCACAAAAGGAACGTGCAGGACTCGATGAAAGTATGCCGCTATATCCTGTTAATCCTACACATATCCCTGATTCTCTTATTACAAATACGAGACCCATGCACATAAAAGACAATTTTCCACGTCGTTTAAAGTTTTCTAGAAGTCCAAAACAAACCGTAAGAACGTATGAATATTCCTGTGATGAATCAGACGGCGCAAAGATTACTGAAAAGCCAACGAAGAAAAGTGATTTAAAGATGTCTGCAGTCTCTTACTCGAGTTTATCGGAATCAGTAATTCAAGACGCCTCTGTAAGAATGATGTTGGCTTTGGAAGATGAAAGAGGCGAAGGCAATAAAGGCATATTGGACGTTCGTGTGAAAAACTTGAAAAAGTTATTTGGTTCGAGCGATACAGATACCAAAATAACCGGTTCACGATCAAGCATCTCAGCTAGATCTTCCATCGTGAGTATACGTAATCCAATGAAAGAAAAATTATCGAAAAACACTAAAGCTACAGAAGGTATAGCAGCTCTTCTGATCAAATCTATACACAGCGTACCTTTGGAGAATGTCAATGAAAGTCATGAGACTCCAACAGAACTTTCTCCACCTAGTAGCGTAAAGGAAGATTACGACTATTCGGAACATCAAGTTATCGAAAATCGTGAAAGTCAGAAGAGAGGAAAGCGAGTTGACTGCAAAGATGAAACTCGTGTAAAATCAAAAGAACAAATAAAGGAACAACATGATTCCTCATTTGAAGAAAACACGCCTAGCTCTAATGATTTTTCAGACGAGTCTTCAATCGACAGCGCCAAATATGGCATTCTACGCGGTTCAAAGTTTCCAAGTGATTATGCATTACAAGTAAACAAGAAAGTTGCGAAAACACTCTCCAGGACTAATACTTTCCCCCCATTGAAAACGAGATCATGGCAAATAATATTACAAAGGACGGATACCGAAATGCGTCCTCTTCACGAAGAAAGCACGCCTCCACTTATTAAATATTCATCTATGGATCAAATGTCATCTGATTTAAGATATAATGCGGAATCACAAAATGATTCTGTGAAAAATTCATGTCCCATCATAGATGAAGTAGAAAAAAAAGAAGAAACTATAAAAGCAACGATAGAAAATGTTACTTCTGAAACACCTGTACCTACAACAGGATTTGATAAAAACACTGGGGATGATATGCAAAGTCAACCGAGCATGAGTAATTCGCAAGAATTCAGTCAACCCCTCGCAACGAGTACACCAGTAGAAATGCGTCTTCCTTTCTTCTTAGAAGTTAAAGAAAGCGACTCCGCGTTAATTAAAACGGAGAACAAATCGATTGCTAATATTAACGATTCTGAAAAATGTGAAACGTCTAAACAACGCAATGAAACCTTTGTAACAGGAGATGACATAGATAACATAAATGATGATTTATCTTCTACCAATGAATCTGAAGTATCCGTTTCTGCGTATTTTTTATTGCAGAATACAAGTGACATAGAAAGAAAAGATAAAGATGCAACTATTAACCAAACGTATAAAAAAGAAGGATTTATTTCTGTGCTCGAAGAAACGTACAATGGCCCTCTTGAAAATTCTTTTAAAGAAAGAGAACGTTTTGACAAGTTAGAAGAGCATAACGTATTGAAGTTTAGCGCATCAACGCATTCATTGCCGTCGTTACCGCAATTTCAGTTTCATACGTACGAAGAATCTAATGTAAGAGAAGATATGGACCACAAAGTAACTGCAGACTTTATGTCGAAAACTTCGTCTAGCATTGAAAGTTTAATACAGTCTTCATGCAATGACGTGCACGATACAACGCATAAGAATAGACAACGGCGCATGTTAGATTTAATTAGAATAATTGATACAAAGATGATGGAATATTCAGAAGGTTACAACAATAATGGTAACGGTCGGTTCAGAAGGAAAAGACGGGATAAAGTATACAGGAATATTAATCCCAGGAACTTGCATAAAAATTTGCATAATCGGTGTCTAAGGAGGCGCCTTCAGAATTTCAACCATACAGAAATTATAAACGAATCCATGCCTGATACCTCTTCCTACAATTCTTCTCTCGAAAGCATAATCACTAGCGATATGTTAATTAAATCACGCTTACGCAGAACAACTGAATCATTTCGTTCAAAACAAAGCTTTCCCATCAGAAGATACGCGGTCGATTCTGTGTCCTATGAAATTACTCCCAAGGAATTAACTGTAGATAGTCATAGCAGCGATTCGGTTAAGGACAATGGTAGCATTATAGAAATGAAGGAACTAAGGCCAAGAGATACTAACCCTTCAATATCATCCACATCCATAGATCCTGCGGTATATAAGAGTCATAGCATTTGTAATATAATAAGAGAAGTATCAAATGATGATGAATTTACTAATATTACTAACACTGCTAATATTACTTACAACTCGTGTGTGTCCCGTCCTTCTCCCGATCACAGGCAACAGGACGAGGCATCTCTAAGTCCATCATATCCACTTCCGGCTGTTCCTTCCGTGGTGTCAAAAGTATCTCAGATACCAACAACTAAGGCACAACCCACTGCATCATTGCATCGAAGGTCCAGTGATTCTGACTTGAGCATTACCCCAAAAGGTGAGTTTCATCCTTAATTGATGTGATTATTATGAGAATAGTGGAAACGAACTAACAATAAGTTTGATAAACATATCGTCTTGTAACTAATGATGGATGTTAGATATTTTGAATGGGATTCAATGGGATAATGTGTGTTTTAGGTAATTCTCTGGGAACAGATCGGTCAATGACTGGATTTCTGAAGACATCAAATGCTGTGATAAGAACAATGAATCAGGATGCATTTGAAATGTTAGAATACCCATTTATCACTATGCAACAGTATCCAGCAGGTTTTATTTTACACATTGGTAAGTACTATAATTCTCAAAGAATCCATTAAAAACTATAGTGTCACTATGAATACAATGTTTCATATATTTCGATTGCAAAATTTAGTCATAATGTGTGTACATTGAGACAGGTGGCCTTGTGAGTTCAAGATCAGTCAAGCTATTAGAAAGAATTAGTAATTTAGAAGAGCCTGAAAGTCGCGATGCTTGGTGGAAAGAAGTTAGGATGGAAGTTCGATCGCATGCAAGAGCATTAGCGTGCAATGTAGTCATTGGTTATAAGGAAGAAACTAGTATTTGGTAAGAATTATGATACAACCAAAAATTATTATTCTTTGTTTTCCGAAGGTCTCATTTGTCGTTCGCTTTATTACAGTGATGATGTTTGCGTACTGAACGCTTACGGCACAGCAGCAGTAATTAATCTTTACAATTCAAATCAGGAGCCGGATAATGTTTTCATCGGCAAAGGACAATCAGGATCAATCGTAAATCCCGTAGAAACAGAACGCGAAAAAACTCAACAAAAACCAATACCTGTGAAAGCAGAGAAAAGCGAAACTGAGGCGTCTGCGCCTGTTTCAACGCATCAAACTGGCAAAGTGAGACACACATCTGAGAGCAAGGATCACGAAGTTCAATTCCAAAGCAAGTGCAGTCTCTGTCATTTACCTTATAACGAGGTGAGCGTTCCGTTTCGCGTGAACGTCTCGAAATGTGCTATATGCAAGCGCGCCAGGGTACCAGACGTAATGTTCACAACAATAGAGCTACCGGAAAACGTATTAATGACAGGACGAGGATGTATTATACAAGCAACCGCGTGCAAGACCAAAAAAGATCTTCGAGGAGAATTAAATGCCAAAGAGATATCGGACTGTTTGCCGTTCTTGGAGTACGAATTACATAGTTTGTTATTAAACAAATTAAAGGTCAAAGGGATGAACGCAATATTTGGCTTGAAGCTACAAGTTTCTGTTGGAGAGCGATTGATCATCGGCATGGCTGTGGGCACTGCTGTCTTTTTAACCGCATTACCCACCCCTTCTATACCGCAAATCGCATCTGGGAATTCTTGGCCCAAAGAGGAGCAATTAGCGAAAATTCAGAAGACTCTGGTCGAAACTGTTAAAAAAAACAGAGAGTTCTATCGTCTCAAACAAGTTAGCGTAGGTGTACCACTGCTTCTAATATTTTTATTAATTCTATTTGAATGAAAAATAAAGTTTGTTAGAGGCATTGGATTAATTTTTTTAAGTTTGGACCCCTTTTCTTTAATTATATTTGACAAAAAAAATGATTTGTTATCGCAGGATGTTGAAAACGGACGAGTTACAACTTCGGATACAGATGACTCGGACGAAGATCTGCCAGATTTAGATTTTAATGTTGGTACTAGAGATGCCTGCGTATTAGAAGTAGACGACATCGAAGATATGGATCGAATATCGTTACTGATGGACGACAGACCTCCAGATGATTTCCACGTAGTAAATACGCAAACTATACCTGGTCTTGACGAATTGGAGATTGTAAGGAATTTACAGATGTTCACGCAAATTTCGAGGACAAAGATACCAGCAGGACAGTTTGCGTCTATGCCTTCAAAATATTTCGCCCGTTTACTTCAAGTACTTTCATTTGGAACTTTTGTTAAATTAAGCGTTTTGAAATTGTAATAGCTATAAAGCTAAAAAAACTTATCTGTTCTAGTCCGTATACTTCAAGCTGAGGAGAATGATACCTTGTGCACTTTGCGATATGCAGTTTAAATTGGCACTTCCGGAACCAGACGAAATACAATTTACGGTAATCGGTATGGCTCTTGGATTAGGGGATCCGGTAAAAGTGAACAAGTTGAAAAAGAAGCTAATGACCCATTCCATCAGCAAGGATCAAGTTAAGAAATCTGGTAAACGATTCAATCGTGTTGAGTTTTATTTTGTTTGAAACATTTATCAGAGTATTTAGCAATATGCTCCACCGATTAAACCAAATTTCTTAACTTCAAATACTTATTAGAATGGTTTGTTTAGATGACAGTGATATGATATTCAATCTTGACGTGGACCATGCCGAGGTTTCGTCGGACAATGCATCCAATATTGTCACACTAAACTCCTCCACTCTGATTAATACCCCAGGCTTGAAATCCAGAACTCGTTCACCACTGCGGACGAAAATTCACGCGATGCATAAACACAAACATGTAAATTTAAAAAAAAATAATATTACAGAACTACTTAAGAATAATACTACAGAATATACGACTAAAGCGAATCCATGTTTTACAGGTGCCTTTAAAGGGAAGATATGGCGTGGATATAACGCCTCTGTCTTATTTGCCAGGTGGTCGCATCGAGAGGTACTTAGGAAACTTGAACTTTTTCTTTATTCGTGAAAGCACATCGATCAGAGAGGTTTGTTTAACGTGTTAGACTTAGTATTTAATAAAAAGTAAATGGTAACACGAAACGATGGAAACTTTTGTTTGTGATAGAACGGCGGTTTGAGCGGGTTTACGCATAGTTTTGTAATGGAGGTTTTGGCGATCGTTCGGGCACACATTACGGCCTTGGGAGGTAACGCAATGGTGGCATTTTTCATGACTAAGTGTGTGCTTCTTCACAGTCCCCATAAAAATCAGGTAAGTTACGGTGTAATTCTTCATTGTTAAGTTACTATTTCAACGGAAATTGTCCAATTTATTTGAATAGTCTCAGTCGTAATTTTTTATCGTGTCTCTTATGATACAATTTTAGGGTCAGTGTTTAATAAATGTCGGCGGGGACGTGGTGTCCGTGTCGTATTTCGCGAACGAAAAGCACTGTGGAACTACAAATTGCTGACCCCAGCCTCCTCATTCTGCACCACCATAGCTGCAACTACACGCCGAGAATCAACGTCGGAAGTTTGACTTCTCGGTGAACGTCATTGGACGTTTCGGGCGGACCGTGACTCAGTACCCTGTGATAGGATAGGGCTTGTAAATATTCGATTTTCTAGCATAAGTACGTAACTTCGGATAAAGCTCACGGACGTTGAATTTGTAATATTAGTTAAGCGGCTTCGCGTAATTGATATCGATCAATTGTGCCACATGACGCACATATTCGACGAAGCGGTTCTAGGGGCACGCTTAAAGTGTTCTAAATCAGCTTTGATGATTAGGTGCCTTCAGAATTGTCCATAACGTTTGCGGAGAATTTTTTTTATCCAACGATATAACCGTTGCTTGTTATCGTTGTTGCAGGCAAACTATACGATTCGGGCATCTGAGTAGCTCAATTTTTCTTTTAACTGCAATATTAAGTACATATATATATATATATATAGTTCTTTTAATGCGTGCTATCGACTTTTTGTCGCGCAGAAGTATGTATCGTTATTATTATTTTCAGTATTTTTATTTTTAAGAAACGCAATAATTGGTGTTAATTCAAACTACAGTCGTTTACATTTGGAGTGTGACAAGAATTGAGGTTGATGACCTGTAAGAAATTAATCACTCGTTAAATATCCAAGAATTTAGTGGATCGAATTGTTTGTAATTCTGTAGATACTAGGGCAATTAAAAGTTGTGTAAGCGATTTCTATCGAGATGAAGCGAAAAAGTAAATTTCACAAATTTCACAAATGTTTTAAAATTTGAAATTGCGTATGCTGTACAAAATCAGATTATTGGATAGAGTACAAGTTTTTGAGGTACTTTGTATATAGGATTGTTATGCGTGCATATTCAATCTTTTTCACTCCGTTGTTTATTGTTATAATTTATTGATTATCATGCAAGATCTAAACGATATCGTAACTATGCATTGTAAAACGAGTTTGCGTTTTATTTTTGCACAATCGTTAATCATTCTGTCTCCGTTGCAATGTGATGAAATAAAATCATGGAAGTAAATCATTTAATTTCTTGTGTATTACTACTCGATGAAGCGTTGGTGGGAAGATGAAGATCATTTTCCAACTAAAGGTTCTCGATGCGCTAAAAAATTGAATAAAAGAACATTCTTGTCGTCCCTATTTAAAACGCAAATGAAGCGTTCTTTCTGAAAGCAATTGGTATTTTGATTCTTCAATAAGACATTTGTTCATTAATATTTATTCCATTTATTTTAAACTATATTTGTGTTAAGTTTGATGAATGATTAAATGATGGATAGTATTCAGAAGTTCCCGTTACAAATGCAAGTGTCTTTCTAATATCCGTTCGGAGTGATATTAAGAAAAAAAAACCACGAAATCTGTTGTATACAAAACCATGCCCTGACTAGAATTCTGACTAGAATTGCACCTTGTACCAATCTTTATCTATCTTTGTTATAAAAATACAACCGACTTCGAGTAATGTGAAGTAACTTTCTTTGATTCAAATCATACTTTGTCTAAATAATTTACTTGGACGAAGAAGAAGAGGAAACTGCTTTTGGTATCTCTTAGCGATGAGAGAATCAAAAGTAATATAATTCGCAACCGCATTGAATTTTGAAGTAAGTCTGAAATTATCCTTTCCTAGCTAGATAATGAGGCGATTAAGCGATAAGAGTTCAGCTGTTCAATATTTTTTGAGTAAAGCATAATTTGTTGAGGCGTCTAGCGACGCTTTCCAAAGCGCAGAAAAACGTGATCAACGTCCTGTCTTTTGACTCCGCTGTCCAATAATGGGATGCTTTCATGGAAACCTGCAAAGGATAACACGATTAATTACGAGAATGTGACAAATATTTATCGTTCTTTTTGATCCGTTTCATTTTTTATACATTCAAGTTAATCTAGCGATGAGTAGATAGAACCAATTTTAATGTTGATGTTTATTAAAGGTTTCGAACCAATATAACTTAAGATCGTGAATAGTTCATATGCAATACAGTCAATGTGGAGATTATACGACTGAAAGATTTAAACAACATGTTAGGAGGAATTATTTGTATTTAGTGGATAATTAAATTTACATTTTAACGAAGAAATTAAAATTGTTTAAATTATCCGCGCTTTCTCCCTAACATGATGCAGTCATCTAGCGGTGAACATATCGAACTATTTTCGGAGTATGATCAGCGCCTCTATCGGGAAAACGCTCAAGTTTGTCCTCAATACTTCCTATTTTCACGTCTAAGTGGCACCATTTGCACTGTTTTCTTTTTTACCGACAACTATCGGTACATTACCATCATATCGGTAATTACCATCTAAAAGCGCTATCTAGCGGCTGGAAAAGGAACTATTGAAGGCAAATTTGAGCGTTTTTCCGATAGAGGACCTTACTCCGAAAATAGTTTGGCATGTTTACCTTACTCCGAAAATAGTTCGGCATGTTCACCGCTAGATGGCTCCACCATCTGCGGTGAAAAAGCGCGGGTAATTTTAAAAGTTTAAATTTTCTTATTAAAAAGTAAATTTAATTACGCTTCAAACAAAAGTTAGTCACGCGCTATCGTTTCATTGCTTAAAGAATATTGTATACTGGAATGTAGCTGTACAAATCAATTGAAATCTTGGCGTATTAAGGTTTGTGTGTTGAGATGATATGTATTTCATTTGATTTTTAGAATTCTATCCTATCGTTGATAAGGTATAATTTTGAAGTGTACCTGTTATGTGGTTGTCTTTTTCGTCGATGTAACTTTCCATTTCTGAGCCAAGTTCGTATATCCTGGAAAGGGCGGCGCAGACTTTGCGAATCCTTGGGGGGAGATCATCAAGATATCCAGGATTACACTGCGAGGGCAGAGCCGACGAAATGTTGTCGCAGAACATCGATATGGTCGTCAAAGAAATGAGGATCACGATCGTTGAACCCATCATTTTTGTCCTTAAACCGAATGAATAAGAGATTGTTGAAAATATGTATATGTTTTCGATGCTTCTAATTAATTTTCTTCGAAAGTATCGTTGAAATTCATGGAAAGGATGTCGCAGGCGTAGAATAATTAAAAACTCGTAAAAATTTCGTTAATTAATTAAGTAACGTGGGCAGCGTCGCGATGAGATTATAATACAGAGGATGGACGAGTGTGCAGGAGATTAAAAACAAAGCGAACGTACTTCCGTCTACAGGAAAATTAGCTCGCCACTTATGAATACGCGAGAACCTAGAGGGAAATCAATTTTCCAGTAACAGGTTTCCCGTTAAGACGGATGCTGAGATAGGGCCCTCCGATACCCTTCTAACGTGACAATGAATACCGCCTATTATAGTTCGTCTTTTCTACGAGATCTTTCACGGAGAAAAACACTAATTTTAGTTGTTCGATCGATTTTGAATGAAGTCCGCAGCAGGTAAATTCGTTCGAGACAAGGAGAAGCGAATGGCAGAGCTTCCGTTGTTTGTCGATGCCGAGAAAAACGAAGGAGGGTGTTGCGTTACACAAGACGGTCACGGAATATCGAGTAAATAAGACTCGCTGATCCGAATGTGATCTCACAAGTGAGCTCAAAGTCGGGAAATCGTATTACCTACGTGCTCGGAGTGCCTAACAGTTTTCGCTTTGTTCGCAGCGAGTAGAACAGATAGCGTGGGAGCTAAATCCTTCGTAGCGGAAGGAAAACAAACATGTACGTACGGGGAAAGTTTCCCTTGAAAAATTTAGCGGTAGGAGGTCCACGAATACCCCAAGACTTCTCCAAATTAACACTCTAACCATTGGTCAACTGGGAAAGAATTAACACTTAGGAAACTGTATTCTTATATTATGAAATATATTCTTACCAAACGGAAGCAGTAACTTGACGCGGTAACGACACGAATGGTAAATATATATTGACGTAGCAATAAAAAATAATGACACAGAGAGCAATGGGAAATGGAGTCGCAATTTCGGCTGAAGAGCTTAATTAACGTCTATCGATGAAGTACTATAACGACGCAACCCGTAGATAATTCTTAATCGCCATTATGGAATTGCTGTGAATTACTCTGGTGACGTTTTACACTCCATCTCCCGTGGTGATACGTAAGTATCACCCGTTTCCTTGGTTCTTGTGTCGCAATTAAAACAAAGATCGATCGATATTGTTTAGAAAACAATTTCTTTCCGATTATCGCAGTTTAATTTGAACGTAACCTTTGTAATTGTTTAGCAAAATTAAAGTGTTCTCGAATTGCATGGCTTTTACAAACTTCAATTGGTTCACGGTTCTTTTCTGTTCTAATATAAACAGGCGGAAGAGGTAGACGACGGTAATCGCGTTATCTCTTCCATTTTGCGGTTTGAAAATTGTGTGGCGTGGACTCTGGCTTTCGGTTAATTTAATTCTCGAAACGTATCACGCGAGGAACGGTACGCGTGAAAATACTTTTGTGGAAATTGGTGTCCTGGTACTAGGCGAATCCTGTACGGGATAACTCTTCGTTGTTGTCTCCTAGGATAGTAATCTGTTTCATGTAGCGAGCCACGTTGTATTTACTTTGTTTTACTTAACGTTTCTATTGCACTGGACCAAGATATAGATATATTATTAAAGATAATAAGTGACCTAGTAGAAAGGTTGAGAAAAAAAAGCGTCAAATATACATATGTAGATCGATCGAGTATTGGACCAATAGTTATGAAGATACGAATTGAAGATCGGTCTGACCAAAGTTGACGCATACTACTAGCGCAGTAGAAAGCTCGGCGTTCGGTCGCGCGTACATAACACGTTTGATTTCAAGTTCGTCTGTCGTAGGGCCAGATGGAAAAATTGTGAAATTTATAACTACTTCAACGCAGAATCGGAAATAAAAATTGAATTTATGGCCTCTCACTTTTTGATACCAACAATATTTTTAGAGTTCAACAAATATTTTGGGAACCCAAAGCTTTAAGTTTCCACCAACGAAGGAAAACAACTCTGGGCTCTTTCCCATCCAAACACTCCTCAGTTTGCAGCGATTAAATTCTTAAGGGTTCTGTTTATTCCTAAGGGAGACGAGTACTGGGTGGTTAAGAGATGTGGGAAAGGCATTTGGGAATGCTCGTACGATCCCTTGAAAAATACTGGGACTCGAAACAAAAATTACCTTCACGATACTGGAATCATTCGTAACGAAATAAAATTCTCTACAATTTGGTATCGATTTCTATGCTCGCGTACTTGAATACAGAGGACCATCGCTTTCAGCACGCCTTGTATAAAGACACGGTCATTTTAATTGTACTTTCTTTCTTTACTGTGAACTCGATAAATTGAAACTCCGAGGATGGCCCGCGCCGCGGTGGAAACGTTAATCGTAATTTATCGTACGATTTATTTGCGCCTAATGCCGCTAATAGAATTGCTAATCCTCTCGTACTGATTTCTCCAGGTTTCGTCTAGGCGATATGATCTTTACGTAACTTTTCAAAATACTGTGAAACACAAACAAGAAAGCGTTTTCCCATGCATTTCGACTTTAGATACTTTAGGTACTTTAGATAGTGTTATTATCCAAATAGATCAGGAAGAGAGATTCTCGACCCTCGCGAGAGATCGATCGAGGAAACGGAGAGAGAGATAGAGATCGCGTCGCGGGATTGTCCCAGGAAATGAACGTCAGTTCTTAATCAAGTTTGTTTCTGAAATATCGCCGCTGAACTCGTGGTTCTGATATTGTGAACGCATTGCCGGAGAAGGAGGAATGGTGGGACGGTCTGGAACAAAAGTGGCCAGATAGAATGAATAAAAAAAGAAAGCCTCGAGTAGAGCGAGTTTATGAGAATCGTATTTCTTTCGAAACTTGCGAGGGCAATTGGAACTGGATTACAACGCTTCCCGATCTATTTTACATCGGCATACTCTTAGAAGAGACTTAATAATTCTTCTTCAATAATAAATTCTTCTTAAGAAAATTAAAGTTTTAAATATCCGCACTATATTATAAAAAATGATTTCATATATTTAACCTTACGTATATAAAAATCTGAAATAATCAAAGTACAGATACCATTTCTTCTCTCGTTAAGGTCTAATTAATCCTGTACCGATAATTACGTAACGAGTTTTTCGGGGAGTAAAGTGGACAAAAGTGCATATTCGAAACAGAAGTGCGATTTAGACGTGATCCCCTGCAGGATCACGTTCATGCAGCGCTTAATAAGAAATTAAACTTAAATTGTCCTCCTCGGAAGTTTTAATCGTCGCAATGTGAAACTTTGCATACGGTGTGACGGATAAATCCCGTATCACGGGGGTAGATTAAACAACTCGAATTGCGACGGCAAAGCCTATTATAAAACGACGCATAACGCACTTCTGCAACTCACTTTTGACGTATAATACCAAGTATACGTCACATACGGCATTGCAAAATTCTATTCTCCGAGATTCCTCGGATTTTATCTCGTGTCGCGGGCAAGACGAGCAAATAATAGAAAAAAAATCGGAAGAATGGCACGAGGAATCTCCATAGTAGAGCTATAGTATATAGAAATCGACTTGCTACAAAAGATTCACAGTACTCATACATTGCTGGAACTATTGAACGAGGGTGTGATCATACTCTACCGTGCAGTTTATTTTAGTTTAGTTTTCGACACTTTAACGCTATTATTATTATTATTATTATTATATGTAGTTTTTCTATATATTTAATGCGTTACAATTTGTCAAAACCTACTTGAAAAACAATTAGGGGGAGTGTCGTCTTAATTGAACCGTCGCCTGCGTTGGACCAGTGGTGTAATTTGAGACTTAGAGACGATTTGTATTGCTCGAGTGTCTACGCTAGAGAGTAGACGATGGAACTGCTCCACTCATTTCAGCAGTCGTTATTCGCGATTGGTAGATAGCGATATCGTTGGGTTCGTTAATGGACAAATATTTAAATGACAGATTGAAAAGTCAACAGCCACTCCGCTGCAAGTAATAAATCATTTCATTCTCTTGGCTCGTACAAATTGCGATTGGAGAAATTTGAAGAAAGTTGAATGCTTGATATGTCCGATGTCGTGCGAAGAGCAGAATTTGTAAAAAGTGATCGTAGAGTAGAGAAACTATCGAAGTCAAAGAAAATGAGAAAATACTTTTTTTAATCAAATGAAGACAACATTTTATCATATTTTGCTTACGACTCGCCAGAGAAATATCCTTGTAAATTATAAATCCGCCCATAAATTTGTTTTCAGATTTCCCTTGAGCCTGAAATGATGTTCACCGTCAAGGAATTACACATTTATGCGATTGAATGTAGCCCGTTGGAATAAAATCGAGTCTTCTGTTGTTCTATTTCGGATGACGAACAGATTGACATAAAAAATTTTGATTAAATAGCTGTCGCCGCGTTATTTCGAAAGCTCCTACCGGTAGGACGTTTACCAACGTGCCACGAAGAGCCGTTGAATTATCTAGGTAGATTCAGGAAGCTGGAAGACGTTTGCGTGGCGAGATATATTGGAATTTGTTCGAACCGAGGAACGTCTCGCAAACCTACATACGTAGGTTACGCTCTTCCAGATGCCATGGCACAAAGACAGTTCACGGTGCGAACAATCCCTTGAGACGAGACGCTTCATGGACGTTGTGGACGGGATTAATGTTTGCTAGCGATGCAACTTCATTTTCTACCTGTCGCGTGAAAACTTCCGCCCATTCGGATCTTTCAATGCACTTTACAGTTATGCGTAAATCTGTGAGAAAGGGCTCTGGTTTGTTTGGAAATTGTTGGAAAAAGTCGATCGAGAAACGTGATATAGCTACAATCACTATTAACTTGAACATGACCAACACGTCGTAAATGATTGACGTTCATATTCGATGAATAAATTTTCCTGGGTCTAATGTTTATGCTACCAACGGAATATTCCCTTTCTTTCGCGACGAGTTTTTTCAAGTATTAAAAACATTTCGGAACAAAGATCAACAGTTGCTCGAGTACTCGAAGAGCGTAAGATTAAAATACGTTCGAAATGAAGTTCTAATATTTTCACAGAGTCGTCGAGGCACGAAATAAAAATGAAATACGTGTCGTGTTGCGTTTTATCGAGATACGGTGGCACGTGACATTACACATTTAGTGTAGAAACAAATTTTATTCGGAAAATTTATCGTTTCAATTTTCGAAATAATTCTTTACGCAAAAGAATTGTATGCTTGATTACTCTGCACGAAGTGTTAACAAATTTATGCGGTGAAACTTAAACTATCGAATGAGGAATTATGTTAAGAAAATAAAAATTCGAACGACCATCCAACGACCGTCAACTTAAAAAATTAAACTAAAATTAGACAGAAAAATTCCAAGGAGAAAACCTTGGGAAAATATTCAAATATGTACGAATATTAATATTAATTTTGAATAATAAGTAAGATTGAAATACGTATAGTCTAATTTGGTTGTGTCATTTAACAAATATGTAGACACATTGTAGGTTTATTATATAAGTTAGCAAATAGTTTGATGGTATCATTGATGGCTAGGAAATTCATATATTTATAGTCCCCTTCATCTAGGGTTTTACTTTTTTCTTTATAGATACCTTAATCTATGTAATTTTAACTATTAGAGACGTAAAGAAGAAGCCGCTATCTAGCCTAGTGATTCGATCCAATAAACAGTAAAGGAAATATAGAATTATTTCTGGCGAAAGAAGACTTAAAGGTGTCCATTACTGGTGCTTTTATCTTATATTCAGCCACGTAAAAGGCATGCAGATACCTCGCTGAAAATTATTCCCGCTTCATAGTAAAACGTAATCTCTAATTTAGCTTGTCTTATTATTGATAGAAATCTACAGGTGAGTCGACACGTTAAGAAAGATTAAAATTTATATTCAACGAATAAATTTTCCCGATTTAATGCTTGTACTATCAATGAAATAAATTTGTTTTTTTTTCCAGTGACGCGACGTGTACGAGAATTTCGCTTATCTTTGACTAACAGGTAGGAAATAAGTATGCGGCTAACCTGTTGCGTGATCACGAACGTGGACGGTCGAAACTACCCCTCGAGAAGGCTTGCGGAAGCAGAGATGAACGGTCCTCGAATCGTTGGACACTGTTGTGCGTCGATGGCGGTTAAACGCGAGAGAAAAGGGTGGTTTTTGCCTGCGTAGCCGATAAGATCCAAGGGTACGGTGATAGTGGCGAGATCCGCGAGGGTTCCATCCCTTAAATACGCGCCGTTTCGACGACCATGCGCGGTCCGTCAGGGCGCCGAGGCTAAATCGCACGAACATCGCACACCCTCTTCTCGTGTTCGTCGTTGACGTACATTTTCAATTTTTCCCGTGACGCGCCGAATGAAAATTTCATGTGGCCGGGAACAGGTTTGCGCAACGGCACACGTTTTCCATGGGCACGAGCTAAGTTTCGTCGTTTTCTTGCTTCGTCGCGCAGCCTGCAAACGAGATTTTTAACGGTGCAACTGGTTGCTCGCTCGAACGAGAGAACTTGAGGAGACGTGGCAGATTATTGTCAATTTTTCATGCCCCCCCGCACCCCCCACCCCTCGCGGAATTAGTTGTGCCCTTTTTTTTTTCGCTTTTTCTCTTGAAGCTTGTCAGGAGAGCATTTTTTTCGCCTTCTTAAGCTCGTGGTGCGGTCTAGAGGAAAGTTCTTAATCCTTTTGGGCCCACGGTACTGTTCGAGGTGAAATATATCTGGCACGGTTATTAATCTTAAATAATTATAGTGACTAAACGTAAGACATCGGAGTATTGAACGTTAATGGAAAATAGTTTAAAATTTGTTGGCATTTTGTGTAATACTGTTGGCATATATTATTAGTTACCATTTTGACATTGTCGAAAAAAAACGTTTATTCGCGCACGTGGGTAGAAACGAATAGCGTACTGCTATTCGCTGCAGTATTTTCAAGCGATGAAAACTCTAGCTAATAAAATCTCTTCGCTAATTTATTTGAATTCACCCACATTCTCGCCAAGCACACCTGTTGCGAAGCACTGTACTAAAACACCCTGTCTCGTTACGGGGGGACCCATTAAATTTTCAATTATTTAATATGACAGTCCGACGACAACACCGATGACTCACGTTTCATTTTGTACCACCGTTTTTCCAAGCCTAAATTGTCGATTTCGTTGGTTACACATCGTTAGCGGGACCTGTAAATAAAATTTTCCACTGCAAGTATTCCGTAGAATTGAAGTAACTCTATATATCACTGTTGGACAACAAATAGCGTAACGAGAGCTGTATTTGCTCGATATGACTCGATTGCTACGTCGAATTTCATTCTTGATAAACGTCATGCGAAATGCACGGGGAAAATCACTTGCAGAAAAGTCAGGGCTGTAATAATAATAATAGTTGTAAATATTATTCGATTAGCAGACGATAGACTTCTTGCAGTAAAACGCCAGTGTATACAAATAATATTGGCCGTATCTTAGCGTACCTTTCGGATATCCGTTACCAATCGGAGGATCAAACACAAAATCTCTCGATATTAAATATACATCATTGATCACGAACGACCAGAAAACCAAAATTAAATGCGACCTAATAAAATGAGACGACGAAACGGGCAAACACGGAAACGTTAATCATCAACGACCTACTTCTTCGGACGACGAATTGATCCTTCGAGTGATAGATATATTTGTAACACAACAAATACCATAACTCGATACCAGCTGTTACCCAAAAACAACGTCAAACGAGTCGTGTGTTTATACGAACTTTTTCGTTGTTCTTTAGTTCACAATTTACAGTTGAGACAACAGTTATCGAAATACTCCGTATTAGATTCCCGATATTAAATTCCAATTCGGTACCGAAATGTCAACAAGAAACGACATGTTCCGTTCGCGTTCTAAAAATTCCATCGAATCGCGTAATTTCTGTTTCTTTTTAAATTCTAATTCCAACGAGTAATAGTGACACGATGTATTTCTATTGTTAAATAGTCAAAAAACAGAGACACGGTAACGTGGAAAGGAAAACGGTGGATTCGTTAGCAGACTGGCTGGCCAGCGACAATGTTCCTTTTTTTTTTTAATTACATACGACGACCTACGGATCAAGATTTTTTCAAGACGTAGATCCGTCACGTGACCGTCACTTTTACATACCGGTAAATTTATCGCGACGATCCTCGGTGTCGCTGTGTATCGTTCGATCGGCCGTTAGAACAACGTTCCCTTAAACTTGATCGCGATTTCCTGCCGGGGTATTTGTTATTCAAGTGCCGTCCGTCATACCGTGAACTTCGAAGAGTTTTCAAGTTTAATCGTAATGGATTACCCTCGTAATAACAGCGAAAAAGTTCGGCGTGAGACGTCTTAAATTGTTCGTACGAGTTGTGATCGTACTACCAAAGGTGCCGGAAAGAAACAGAGAGGATCTTCAGGATCGATCGGTGAGCTCGATCATACTGATCACTTTTCGCGAACTTTGTAACAGGAACATCGATTAACGAAATGATACTTGACTTCCCGTAACGGACCTCGGTAATCTTCTTTCGTCTTGGCTCAGATTCGATAGGAAATATTTTCTCGTCGAAGTTCGCGTGTGCGTAACGTTCCTCGACATATTCTTAATAGACGTATCGTAATAAACACAAACGGACAACTGTGTCTACGTTACTGTAAGAAATTGGGAGATAGTTGTTGTAAAATGATCGATACCCATACTATAGGTCCTAAACATTCTAATCTACGTACATAGAAGAATACCGAGTGCAAGTCACGAAAGAAACTTTTGGGACAACCTAATATTACGGTGTATTATTTCAGTTATATTTAGCGGGGCCCCAATGACGGGAGACATGTGAAGAATGCTTTTCTAAACAAAGAAAGCCATTCTGAACCGAGGTTAAATCACGATTCATGAATGTAGATAATTACATGCGGGGTTATAAGAGGTTAATAGAAACGAACACCGATAGTTTTGCGCGTTTGCGAAGATAAGCGTTAAATACCTCTAATAATATAGACTCATCGAACTTTGAAATCGCAAATTTCTTTAAATTTTCTGTGTATATTCATTTATTCTATAGGATTTCCTTTTTCCATAGGGCATCTAATACCGTATAATATAAACAATCGATCGATAAAAATACAAAATATTTCACGCGATTTACAATTTATTCGTTGTTGTTGTTTCATTATTTCCAGAACCGTGTATTAAAGTGTGAGAGCACTCCGTCGGCGCATTGTTGTAAAATTGTGGAACACTTCGGTGACTTTGTTACCGAATTTAATTAAATATACGCTCAGGCAACTTTTATTTATGCAAACACGGGATCATTAAAACACGATGGACTCATTATACATTTATTCTTACGGCTATTATTTCCAATACGATTACGAACGTGTGCATAACAGTCTTTGATGTTTATTAATTCCTTCTGCTGGACGATTTTTGATGCTTTTATTTACAGATAATCTTCGTCCTAATCTCGTGGACAGGAAGTGGTCGGGAAGGATCGTGAATGGACCCTTCCTCGTGGACGTTGACGCGCTATTGGTTCCACATCATCTAACATCCACGCAACCAGTCCTTTTGCAATTTTCTGTGATGCTAAAAGTAAATTCAGATTTTTTCAACCCTCAGTCCCACCCGCTCATCGCAGACTCGAAGATGTGCCAAAAAAACGATGGCTGTGGTGAGTACCTCCTCAGGATTATCAAGGGCTTCAGGATCTTATTCCCAATGACAAATAATACGTGCCAACTACACCTTGTGTACATCCATATTTTGCATAACGCATATGTTTTTATTCTCTATTCTTAAATGTATGTACAACGTACTACTGTATGTGTTAATCGCTATGAATATGGATATTTCATGCTTCATTTACTTCTTAAGCAAATGAGTAATTCCAAATGACTCGTGCCATCGACCAAAGGTACGGTGTATGACTGAAAATACGTTGGGGTCATCGTTGGTATACTGGTAGTAGAAATTCTAGAGACGTTGCGGAGAAATAATTGACTTTTCAAGAATGACTTTTCTCGAAAAGATACAAGCATAGACCCTAAACAAAATCTTATGAAACTGGAATCAAGTCGTCTTTTCTGATTGGAATTAGAAAACAGTGCTAAGGAAAAATGGTGAAATTTGTATTAGAATATTATTGCGACATACCGTATCAATCTTGAGAAATCTCTCCACTCTTTTCGTCGATAAAGGAGAAGAGGAAGGTGTTATTTCTATTCGGCCCACTCTGCGTTATGGACGTAATCCATGAATTGACGGGGTGGCCTTCCAATGCCAGAGGGATGCTCACCCTTGATTTAAACCCTAAGATCGAAACGTTAAAGTAAATATCTGCTTAAGACTACTGAACTGTCGTCCTTACCGTTGAAGAAAAGTTTAATTCTATTTTCGACGAACCCTCGCCATGGGTAAACAAAAGGTCGCTCTTGGTATCATAAAGTCTGCGTCTTATCGTAGCCACAAAAAGACATTTTTCGTATCATAATCAAGCAACACTGCAACGAAATTTCGGAGAGCTTTTAAAGAGAGTCGAATAAAATATTATTTCAAATAGTAAACGCGTAACTCTGAACACTTTTTGTCACATTTGGAATATTGCTTATAATAGGTTTCGAGAGATTTTCGTCTGGAAAGAAATCTACCCAGCTCTGGAGACTAATTCGAACAGCAGACGGTGTTTGCGACGCATCTTGTCGATAATTCAATTTCTGAAACTGGTTTTTGCTTACAGACGCGATCGTCTCCGACTCGATAGACGCGCGAATTTCTGTGTCTCGAGGAACGACGAAATTTCATTGTTAACTTCAACGCGAATAACGCAAATTAGCGCAATCGAATCGTCTAACAGCACCTGCTGTTTTCCTCTCGCAGCGTTAGGTGTTGATGCGTAGTCGAAGAAAGGGGGATGGTCTATGGGAGCGGAACTTTGTAAACAGAATCGTCGTCTGCTGAAATGGGAAAGCAATTTTTTGGAATTCGTCCTGCGTGATGGTTCGCTTTGACGATTTTTGTCCGATGCCTTCATTTTGACTTTACGATTTATCGAGAAACCGTACCACAAGTTGCGACACGTTGTGTGGAGGCGGGACATCTTCCGTCGAAACCCAGGAATTTTCAGCCCCGATTTGTCGCAATAATGGATGCTCAAGCTGAACTGTAATCCTCGCTACTGCGCCTGAATCGATTCGACAATAGC